CTGTTAGGGAGGTGGCGCCCGTTAGTCTTTGTAAAATAAAAAAAAATCAATCTTACATAATCAGAAGTAAAGAGATGTGGTTCTTTTGTCTTTGTAAAATAAAGAGAAAAAAATCAATCTTACATAATCAGAAGTAAAGAGATGTGGTTCTTTTGTCCGTTACTTTTTTATGCTTTGGATAAAAAACCCTGTCTTTTCAAATAAAGAGAAAACATGAATCTTACATAATCAGTCGTAAAGAGATGTGGTTCTTTTGTCCGTTACTTTTTTATGCTTTGGATAAAAACCGTCTATTAAAATAAAGAGAAAAAAATAAATCTTACATAATCAGAAGTAAAGAGATGAGGTTATTTTGTCCGTTACTTTTTTATGCTTTGTCTTTGTAAAATAAAGAGAAAAAAAATCAATCTACATAATCAGAAGTAAAGAGATGTGGTTCTTTTGTCCGTTACTTTTTTACGCTTAGGATAAAAAAAAACTATCTGTGTATAATAAAGAGAAAACATCAATCTTACATAATCAGAAGTAAAGAGATGTGGTTATTTTGTCCGTTACTTTTTTACGCTTAGGATAAAAACCGTCTTTTAAAATAAAGAGAAAACATCAATCTTACATAATCAGTCGTAAAAAGATGTGGTCATTAGATATGCATTTTGTAGTTTCTTTGTTTATGCTTCGGATAAAAAACCCTGTCTTTTAAAATAAAGAGAAAACATCAATCTTACATAAAGGTAAAGGGATGTGGTCATTATTAGACATTATTAGTTTTTATGCTTCGGATAAAAAAAGTCATAATCAAGGTAAAGGGATGTGGTCATTAGATGTGCATTTTATCCGTTAGTGTTTTTATATGCTTCGGATAATTTATAGTCTTTGTACAATAAAGAGAAAACATCAATTTTACATAATCAGACGTAAGAGATGTGGTCTTCTTATTTCAACTTCCAATGTTGTGATAACATCATGGGTCATATTTTTCGCTAAATTTCGCGTTTTCAATTTCGTGAATTGGATAGAACGAATATTTGGAACTAGTGAGCGCCCGCCATCTCGGTATCCTATTTTTACACACAAACCTGAGCTGCTTTCATGTCAGTTCATGTCAGTATGGCTTGTAGGTATAATTTTTGTCCAAGAGATGATTTCTGACTAATAATCCCTCCAAAAGTTTCCGTATGGAATCTATGAATGGCAAATTACCCAATTGCTCGATGGGTTGTTTACGCACACTCATCACACGGAGTTGTCCCTCAAATATCAAGGTCTGCAGAGAACATTAGGTCAGAAATTTCTAACGTCATCAGAGACAGCGTTAAGGGGGACTGTTTATAAAGCATATCCGAAGTCGATATTCATGTTTCCAAACACTTTAAATCGCGGTGTACCAGTCGGTTATGTTCGCAACTTTACAATATACAGTAATTCAAAATTGGAGAAAGAAGGAAATTATGGTCTTTACTAATGTGATGTATAAGTTCATCATAATTCCCTTTGTTTCTTGAAGCAAAAATATATATCTTTTTCATTCACAATCTACTATTGATTACACATGATTTTGTGGCCGATTCGTCACTTACTTTCTTCCACACTTATTCAAAATCGGCTAATTTTTACATATAGGTAGCAATAAATCTATTTCATCATCATTATTTCTTACTTAACTGAACTGCTGAAATGGAACATGTTTGCTATACATATTGGCGCCATCAGTGTAAATTAACTCGGAGGGGGGGGTCCAATAGCGACTCGTGGAATTTCAAAAATAAGCCCCTGATTATGGCTTTAATTAACCACCACTGCGACAACTCCCTGTGTTTCACATTTCATAACTCAAATCATTATAATTTACTTCCAATTTACAGCAGGTAAGAGATGCTAAAGAAAACGGTCAAAGAAGCCCTTCACTTTTTTACGTAGCACGACGATTTAAAAAAAAAATAGAAATTGAAGGCTTCTAAATATTTAAATACTATATGAACAAATAAATGGAAAAGGGATACCGAAAGAACTCACACTGTCACACCACGACTCAAAATTACACACATAAGAGTTCGATTCTAATGGAAAAAAAAAACAAAAGTAACAATACTGCTGTAATATTGTCCGTATATTATCGGCGCCACATGCGGACATTTCCAACCGGTACACCACGAGTCTGGAGGTGACAATCTTTATCTGGCTATACATGTGTAGTGTGTAGTATTCCGTGAGGGAGAGACGTAGGTCTGTAACGATCACTGTGATTGGTTGAAATAATTTTACAATTATTTACAACAGGGAGGAAATCCGACTGAGGAAATTATATCTGAATGTCATAACTATTCAAATTACAAAACTTAAGAACAAAGAATGACTTTTATCTGCAACATGTCTATGAAAAAGCAATATTTTATAGATTTGACAGATGCGCTTCTGCAATGCCAGCCACCTAAAGTGTAATGAATGAAACAGTAAACGTGTTTTTATTTTCGGAAAGTAAAACGATTCATGATGTGTAAATAACTATAATATGTTTAGATTATAAGTCAACAATAGAACTTTCGAAAGGCACAAACTGATTTTTATTTGATGTGAAAAAATATTTTAAGATCTTCTGATTCCCGGCCTCGAAGTTTGTTGTTACTCACCACACACACACACACACACACACACACACACACACACACACACACACACACACACACACACACACACACCACACACACACACACACACACACACGATTCTCCGGCCTCGAAGTTTTTTTGTTACACACACACACACTCACACACACACACACACACACACACACACACACACACACACACACACACACACACACACACACACACACACACACACACACACACACACACACACACACACAACACACACACACACACGCACACACACACACACAACACACTCACACTCACACACACACACACACACACACACACACACACACACACACACACACACACACACACACACACACACACACACACACACACACACACACACACACACACACACACATATAAATCTGTAAATACATATGTGTGTGTGTGTATGTATTCGAAATACCAGACGCCAATCACAAGAGCATTCCATTCACAAAATACTGGATACTACGCACGTATTACCACAAAGAATCCAGGCCACGCACCATACGGGTGTACCAGCTGGAAATGTCCGCAAGTATACATGAGACGAAAAGCCAATCTCTGACTCCTATCCCTCCGAGAGATCCTTGGAACCGGCAGGACGAGAAAAGGACAAGTAGGAAAATGACAATGGCCGACGGGTACACCGGTTAGGTCTTGCGTGGCATGCTTAAGGTTTCCGATTTTCTTTCTCTCTTCTTTCTTTCTTTATCTTTCTATCTTTTATCCCCGTCGCATTTTTTTTTTCAAATTTCGCACTGTTTACCTTCTACTGCCGGTATATCGGACACTGTTGCCATATCGAAAACGGACGATAACAGCTCTTCCAGTCCAACGCCCAAGATCAATAAAAAAAAAAATCTTAGAAATGTTTATCTTCCGATTGTGAGTTCGAAATCAGGAAGGGAGGAGGGAGGGGAGGGAGGGGAGGGGAGGGAGGGAGAAGGAAGGAAAGGGAAGGGGAAGGAAGGAGGAAGGAAGGAGGGGAGGGAGGGAGGAGGGAGGGGGAGAGGAAGGAGGGGAGGGAGGGCAGGGGGAGCAACCAGCGCACCCGTCAAGCCAGTTACAAACGTGTGAGAACTCTGCCACCCATGAAACTCACAGCAACGGGTGGGACTTGAAATCATTCTGACTGGCTGAACTTAACACGCTTGTTGATTGTCACGGTCACATCTTTTGTTGTAGGGAAAATGCGTACAACATAATGCGAAATGGGTTCAAACAACAACACACACACACACTATAAAAACAATAATGAAACCCTCTAAAAAAGTTAAAATATGATAAATAATAAAATGAAACATGACGAAATGAAATCCTTCCCACCGTAATATAGAAAATAATAATAATAATAATAAATAAACAAATGCCATAGAGACGGGTAGACAAACATCTCAGTGGGCATCAGGGACCTGCACGTGGTCGACGAAATCGTTGGTCCTATTTTTAAAAGTCTCCCTGTGACATCCCAGACCACTTGCAACATGTCCCAAATTCATTATGTTTTTGTTTTTTTTCGTCCTTTTATTCTTACGAACAAACAGACGGATGCATAGTTCATAATTATCAATCGGGAGTACAATCGAAATATTTATCATGTTCGTTGGAAGATTTATAATAATAAGGAACTAAATGACATAAAATAATAAGCAAATGTAGGACCTATACCTAAACACATATTTTTTTAATCGTCGTATGTCAGAAACGTGTCACCAGTTAAGCTAATATACTGAAAGAGATCATCACGGACATACACTCTGCAAGGTGCAAAATTAAATCATGTAATTCTGCAAGATTTGCTGGCCCAGTGAGTCTTGGTAAATGGTGCAATAGGTGCAATAGATAGACTACATCTTGACAAGGCCGTCTGAATGAGGTAATGGATTTTTGAAGATTTTGATTTAGAGACAACTTTCATACGGCGACTTGTTAAAACTGCGAGGCCCGACCCAAAGAATATTCGTATACTTAACATGCATAAATATAGAAATAAATGCATATTCATAAGTCTAGACATGCATATCAACCGGACAAATGGATAGATAAATGTGTCATAAATAAATAAATCAGATATATAGACAGATATGCATTTACTTTTTGTGTTTATGCATGTCTGTATTAATGAATATTCATTGGGTCGGGCCTCGCACAATTTTAACAAGCCGGCCGATAGTGAAGAGGAAGTACAGAATGAACACAAAATCTGTTCCAAATCGTTCAGGTTATTCATTTACACTGTCTTTGAATGGCAACGTTCGATATTACATCATTTATAGCAATCAGTTAATAGGCCTACACATGAAATACGAATAACAGGATACAAATACCTTATGTTCATAAAAAGACTACGCCTTT